GTGTATATATATATATATATATATATATATATATATTGATTACCAACTGCCTTGGCATTTTTATCTCTACACTCTGCATTTTTTTCTTTAAAGTCTCCTATTTTCCTCTCTTATAAAGTTAAGCCCTCAGAAGGACTGTTCTATCAATGTGAACATTACCATGGCCTTTTTTTCCTTCTAGGAAAGTATGTGATGGTAATGGGAGTGATTCAGGCCCACAGCCCTGAGCCGCGCCTTCAGGCTGTGAAGATGACAGATCTTTCTGATAATCCCGTCCATGAAAGCATGTGGGCACTGGAAGTAGAAGATTTACACAGGAATATTCCTTAGATGATGCTGGAAGTGTCATGAGAAACAACGGACATTCTGAAAGGACTTAAGTTCTTATACCATGTGGATTTCACGGACATTATTCAATGTGTATTTCTCAAAAGCTTTGCTCTGGTTCACCAAGGAGTCCAGATGTAGGATTTCTAAATGCTGGGACACTCCAGTTAACTCAGCCCCTGCTGCCTCTATGCTTTGACCACTGTTTGCTGATGAAAAGCAGATATTTTGTTCTTTCTCTCTTTCTGTTTTGGTTTTTGTGTGTTAATTCTCTCTAAAGCACACAGAAATCTCATGTTGCATTTTTCAGATTTTACTAGTGATGATACTTTTTTCGTTACTGCTGCAACCCTATTTTATGGTGCAAACTTTGAATCTCAGTCATTGTCCATGGTGATTAAAGTGTGGTTATGGGCAGGAAAATAGACTGTGTGAAAGAAGAATGACATCATGGCCCCACATCTTCTCCATCAACAGCTTCCATATCCAGTGTGCAAGTCAAGTGGTACAGTGGCCTCTCAAAGACGCATCTCTCTTTCAAACACCACTCAACCCTTAAAGTCCATTTCCCTTAGATGTGGGTGATGATAGGACTTGCTGAAATGCTTTCAAATTTTGTTGAAACTAAAGTTAAGATTGAGAACAACTTTTAGGCATTAACTCAGCTCCTAACTTCTGCCTCTTAACTTTTGGTGAGATACTGCAAGGGAGCATTCTCCTGGTGTAGAGTTCTACATTTTGGTATGGAATTACTTTTTGTTGTGATTGTATTGAATGTAGGGTTTCTGATCTCTGCTTCTTACCCAACCCTCTTTACCCTTAGATTGTAAATGTCAAAGGAGGCAAGTTTTGTTCCAACATGGCTGTAGCGTTTTGCTGGATTATTGATCTTCTACCACTAATAAATTGTTTTATATGCTGTATTTTTTTTTAAATAGACTTTTTGTTTATAGACTTTTGTTCTATAAATCTTTAGATTTATAGAAAAAAAGAGCAAAAAGTACATACCCCCTTCCTCAGTTTCTCCTATTATTCTCTCCTATTATTATCTTGCATTGGTGGGATACGTTTGTTGTTGTTGATGAGACAACACTGATACATTATTATTAACTAAAGTCCATAATTTACATTAGGGGTCATTCTTTGTGATATATAGTTCTATGAGTTTTACATTTATCTACCATTATGGTATGAAACTGTATACTGCCCTAAAAATCCTTTGTGCTCTACCTGTTCATCCCTGTCTGTCTCTTCACGGCTGGCAACCACTGATTTTTTTCCTACTATGTCCATAATTTTGCCTTTTCCAGAATGCCATATAGTTGGAATCATACAGGATGTAGTTTTTTTTCAGACTGGCTTCTTTCACTCAGAGATAAGCATTTAACATTTCTCCATGTCTTTGCAACTTGGAACCAATTTCTTTTCTTTTTTTAATGATTTTTTTAAAATGGGTTTTTTAGAGAGAGGATGGGGGGAGAGAGAGAAACATCAATGTGAAATCAAACATCAATTGGCTTCCTCCTGCATGCTTTCTACCTGATCCAGCCTGCAACCCAGGCATGTGCCCTGACTAGGAATCAAACCGGCAACCTTTCAGTGCACAGGACAATGCCCAACCAACTGAACCACACCGGCCAGGGCCCGATTTATTTTTATTGCTGAATGGTATTCCACTGTATGGATGTACCATGCTTTGTTTATCCATTTACCTACTGAAGGACACTGATTTGATCCCAGTTTTTGCAAATATTAATATTAATAGAGCTGTAATAAACATTTGTGTTTATTGGACATGTTTTGTGGACATGTTTTCACCTTACTGGGGTAAATGCCTGGGAGCACAACTGGTGATTATATGTAAGCCTAGGTTTAGCCTCATAAGAAACTGCCAGACTCTCTCAGTTCATTTGGGCTACTATAAGAAATGAGAGAGACTGGGGGCACTTAGAAACAATTGAAATTTATTTTTCACAGCTTTGGAGACTGGGAAGTCCAAGATAAATGTACTGGCAGATTCAAGGTGCTGCTTCCTGGTTCATAGATAGCTGTCCTCTCACTAGTTCTCACATCGCAGAAGAGAGAAGGGAGCTCTCTGAGGTCTCTTATAAGGGTACTGATCCCATTCATGAGGGCTCTGCCCTCATGATCTAATCACCACCCAAAGGCTCCCGCATTTCAACATAGGAATTTGGAGGAACACATATTTAGTCTATACACTGTCTTCCAAAGTGACTATACCATTTTGCTTTCCCATTAGCAGTATATGAGTTTCTGTTGTTCTATATCCTCACCAGCATTTTGTATTTTCAGTGTTTTGGATTTGCTATGTTTTTAAACTATGTAGCATTTTCTTTTAAAGGTGGGCAAATTGGAAATAATGCATTGTTTTTATTACTGATCTGGGTTTGTTAACCACTTGAAGCTTGTTTTGAGGAGGTTTATGTTCAGTGTTTAGGGATTTTCAGGCAGTGTTGCTGAGCTATTTCTGGAGCTTTTCAGCCTTATAGACCTGAATATGAGCCCTTCATCTGTTGTTAAACTTGCTGTATGACTGTAAGCAAGTTACCTAACCTCTCTGGGCTTTAATTTCCTCGTCTATAAGATGCAGATTATACCCAGCTCATAGTACTGACGTGAGGAATAAATGAAGAAGCATTTAAATCACTTTCACATGTGCCTGGCACATGGTAGCCACCAAATGATTATTGCTGGAAGGAATAGTAACTTCTTATATTCATCAGTTGCCTTTAAAAAGTATACTTTTTTAGAATAGTTTTAGATCTACAGAAAAATTTCAAAGACGGTACAAAGAGTTCCCATATACTACATCCAGTTTCCTTTATTATTAACATCTTACATTAGTGTGGCACATTTGTTACAATTAATGAACCAATATTGAGATGTTATTGTTAACCAAAGTCTATATTTTAAATTTAGATTTTCTCAGTTTTTCCCCCTAATGTCCTTTTCCTGTTCCAGGATCCCATCTATGATACCCCATTACATTCAGTCCTCATGTCTCCTTAGGCTCCTCTTAGCTGGGACAGCCACTCAGCTGCTTTTGATTACATTGACATTTAATTTTGATGTAATCCTTGGGACCTCTGTTATAGGATTCTTAGCTTTATTCCAAAATTATTATGGAGTTCCCAATAGTAGCCCTTGAGATGGGTATGTGGTAGCCCCTTAAGACCTCACACTGCAGTTCCCTTATCTGAAACCTTTTCTGCTAGAAAACTGAGCTGGGCTTCTTAGAACCTCCACCATGTTCTACCGTTTCCCCCACCTAACTTCTGGTAAATAATGCCCGATTGAAAATTGCTAATTCGCCTGGTATTGCTGCCTGAGCAGTGAAGGAACTCAGGAGTGTGGGAGGTGGGAAAAGGAGGGTGCCCTGTGTTTTTCTGACAGTCCGGCAGACTGCCAGTGGCTCCCAGTGGCTCCCAGTGGCTCCGTGCTGGAAGTGTGCCACCTCAGCATGTTAGCTGAGCTCTTGCGGTTTCCCTGAATATTAATAACTCTCACTGTTTCGGCTAGTGTTTCTTCCTTGACATCACCAAATGAAAACGCATCCCGGGTAGGGGTTTCAGTGTTCTGGTGCCAAATCAAAGTTGGTTTATCAGCAAGCCATCCCTCACCAGACAAGGGCAGGCTGTGTGCTTGGGCTGTGCTGCTTCCCTTTTGAAATTGGCTCTTTTCTAAGAACTGAAAATAAGCACCCTGAGCTGTGACTTCACTTTTCTTGGAACTGCTTTACATTAGAAGAAAGAAAAAAAACCAGAAAACCCTCATTGAGCTGGTTTTGGATCACTGAGTTCCCTAATTCTGTTGCATATTCTTGTAAAGCTCATGTTTTACCACAAAAATCTTATGCATCAGGTGCAGCAGGAAGGGAAAGAATGACCATGAGAAATAGCGGTGTCTGTCTCTTGGCCTGTTTGTGTGATACAGCGGTAATGGAGAAAAAGGACCTGGAAGGCACGCTGTGTGTAGTCCTCTTCAAATCCCAGGGGTGTCAGCCGTGACGGCCTGGTCCTAAAATCTGTCGGGTCACCAAATGGCCTGTGTTGCCTAGGCTGGTGTTGCTAACCCTTAGGACATGGTCCAAACTCACTGAACAGCTGCCTATTGGCAAGAAAAA